GTGGTGTTTGGTGCTCAGATCTCCCCAGGCATGGAAGGCCCCCCCGTTGGAACTGAGCTGAGCCTAGGGCCTGGGTGTTGGAGCAGCTCTCAGAGCCACCAAGTCACACAGCAGCCCTGGTCTAGGCCCCAACACTGCCCTTCCTCGGCAGAGCCTATGCACTCTGAAACCTACTGATGCACAGGGCTGACATGGAAGAGCTTGTGCTGGTGATTGCCAACCCCAAGAGCCCAAAAGCCACTGCAGGGTGCAGCTCCAGGAGACAGGAAGCCAGCGAGCACAGGCTCTGGCATGTTAAAACACTTTCCTAGCCAGGGAACGTGAACCCCTCCCACAAGCAGTGAGGCACCCAGAGTCCCCATGCCACCCCCTTGCCCAGCAACAAGCGAACGCAGCTGGGTATGGGGAGAAACCCTGAGGTTTCCTCCTCCCATGGCATTTACCTGTGTCACAAACTTGTTTTCTTTCCAGAGCTGCTTTAAATCCGTGTCTTCGATGACCTTTTTGGAAGCGCATGGTGGGCGGTAGGAGTCGGTGTAAGTGCTGACAGGGGTCTTGTATTTTTTGGAGGGCCGGAACATGGCGCAGCAGCCCAATGGGATGAGAGCACCTGGGAGTCCCAGAGGGTCCCGGGGACGCCCCAGTGGGTGATCAGCACAGTGTGGGGCTCGGGGCTTGCAGCCGGAAAGGGGCCTGGGCTGGTGCCACCGCTCCACCAGCCCAGGGTGGTGTTCATGTGAAGTGATGTCATAGTGTGGGTGCAGGGGGATTTGGTGCCTGCTAGTTCCACGGCACCGCTGTGGCTCTGACCAAGAGCACAGCAATTGCTGCCTGCATCCCTCCATGAGCTGTACCCTGCTGGCTTTGCCCTGGCTCCAGGCTTCTTCCCTTCCTGCCCGCAACTACCTTAACAATGGTAGGAACAGTTTCAGCTGGCCCTAGTCAAGATAATTTTATTCTGGGAGGTGCAGGGGCAGTGGTGGTGGCTTTTCCAACCCCTCTCTCCCCCGTTTCCTTGGAAATCCTGCATTAACCCAGACGTGTGCATGCAGCACCATACAAGTGCAGTCAATGTCTGGGACACAGCACCAGGCACTGCTCTTCCAGCCTGCTGGGGTAGCCAGGGGAATTATTGACTCCTTTGTCTCCTCTTTTTAACTAGAAAGCTGGATTTAGGTGATCCTGTGCAGGTTGTTGTTCTGTCCTGAGTGATGGGCTCTGCAGTCAGAGTGAGTGATCCTCATCCATCCCAGAGCAGAGGTTATGCCAGGGAGGGATCTGCCTGAACTGGGTTTGCTTTTCCCCCAGCTGGAACTCTTGCCCCTGCAGAAACCCTGCTCTGGCCTGGCTGGTCACGCAGTGCCAACCCAGGGCCCCGCTCTGCTCATGGCTCCAGCCCCTCTGCTGGAGTGGGCCCAGCGAAGACCAATGTCCATCTGGGCAGGGTGGATGCCAACCTGCTGCCCTGAAGGGACTGCAGAGCTCTGCTGTGTGCTGTGGGTGATGGTGGGGGCTGGGCAGCCTGGGGCACCCAAACACCTCCAGGGAAACGTGATTAATGCACCCTCAGGGATACATTTAAGAAAACAAGCTGCCATTGATTTTCACACCCTGCTGGTGTCTGCTGAGCCAGACTTAGGCTCTCCATCAGCCCCCATCCCCTCCTAGGAGCCAGCAGGAGGAAGGATGGACATGAGGGGGCCTACCCCCTGCCCCAGCTCCATGTCCTTGGAGCACCCCAGGGCACAGTTCTGGGGAGCACCCAGAAGTGGAGTGCAAG